TGGAAAATCTCTATATGCAACACATATTGTACGTAAACCATCGCATGCCATTGGTTCAATAACTGTTTGAATAATACGATCATAATCAACAGTTGAAAATGGTATAATTTCTCCATTACGATTTAATATTGTTTTACATTTTTTTAAAACAATTTCAGATGCACCTTTTGTATACATACGTACAATTCCATCTGGTCGTCGAATAACTGTTGACATATTTTTTCGTACAGAATTAAATGTATAAACATGAACAAATTGTTCTTCGGGATAATGTGTACGAATATCATCATAACTTCCACCTAATCCAACAACAAAACCTAATAGACCACATTCAGTTTTATTCCCAACTTGTTTTGGTAATGTTTCTTTTTCTGGTGGAGGCTAAATAGAGAAATTTGTTTTTTTTTCGTTTTTTAATTTAAAATTCTTATTTATTTACCAATAATTTTGATGAATAACCACTATTAACAGATATACCTTCAAGTATAACTTCTTTCGCTTTAGGTGGTATTACAATTTCTTTAGCTTTAACTGGATCTTGAACATTTTTCCAATGTTTTTCACCAACATAAACTTGTACAACAGTCATACGATTTGTTGTTAACGTTCCTGTTTTATCTGAACATATTGCTGTTGCATTACCCATTGTTTCGCATGCATCTAAATGACGTACTAAATTATTGTCAATCATCATTTTCTAAAATAGAAAAATTTTATTTTGAATTTTTTGAATTTTTTTACTAACTTTAACAGCATAAGCTAAAGATATAGTTACAGCCAATGGTAAACCTTCTGGTACAGCAACGACTAATACAGTTATACCCGTTATTAAATATCGTACAAATCGACTGAAGTATTTATTACTCCATTTTTCACGTCTACAAATTAGTCCATAAATAATTAATAAATATATATATTCTTATTTTTCTTTACCGTTGAATAAATTCTTCGATAGAAAATCGTACCAATAAAACAAGTACAGTTAAAATAGCGATTGTCATGCCTAAAAAGAATAATTTCAAATAAAATAAGAAATTTTTTTTTTTTTCGAAAGAGAAAATTTTGTTTTTACATAAATAAATTGAAAATAAATGTGGTTATATCCCTAAAGAATTCTACTTTGGGCCTTGTAAAAAATTCCAATTAATTCTAAAATAATTCTCGTGGGATATAACCGATACAAATTATACTACTATTATAATCTCTTGACGAAGATAAATATATTGTTGTCTCGACTTGAAAAAATTTACCTGCATATCCAATTTGAATAGCTAATTTTGTCAGTTTTGCTTGTAAAATAGATCGTTCTTTAACTTTAAAACCACCTGAATCATCATCAGCACCTCCTTCTTCTGCATCATTAGCCACAACTTCTTGTAATTCAGTTCCATCATGATTATTACCAGTTGCATCTAATTCAAAAAAACAAAAAAATAGATTAAAAAATTGTCGAAAATAAGATATAAAAGAAAGGAAAAAAGCATATTTAATTAGTGAATTAAGAGCAATCGTTATTGTCAATATTTAAGAAGAATTAACGACATTAAATACCTGCAGCCGAGATTGGCTTTACTAGACGTTCTTTAACGTCTGCATCGGCAGGAATATCTGAATAATATTTATGAGGAAAATGTTTTGAGGGAAAAATATATATATATTGGATAAAAATTCAGCTCTTATTTAAACATACTTTCTTTTTTGGTATCTGCTGGTTTTTTATTATCATCATCATCACCTTCTGTTGCGCCTAACAATTTAAATATCATTCCAGTTTGACTATGTTCGCCAACAGCCAATACTAACATTTTTCCACTACCTTCCATAATATGTGTACCTATGAAATCAAATTTGTTTTAAAAACAAAGTAAAGATTCTAAATAATCTCTTACCAGAAAGAAGAAATGGATCTTTTGATTCATGCTTTTTTATTAAATCAGATTCTCCAGTTAATGATGATTCATCAACTTTAAGATCATTTGATTGTACAACAACACCATCAGCTGGTAATAAGTCTCCATATTTAACTTGACATATATCACCAACAACAATATCTTTTATTGGAATTTGTCGTACATTATTATCTCTAACAACATTAAATTTTTGATCAAGTTCAATTTTTGATTGAAGACCACGAAATTGTCGTTCTTTTGTCCAATCATTAAATGCTGTTACAAGAACAACAACAATTACAGCCACAATAATTGCTGCACCTTCAATCCATTCGACATTTGCTTCTTCTACAAAAACAAATTAAGATTGAAAATAAAATTATTATTATTGAAAAAGATAGAATTTACTCGGTTTTATGTCAGCTTCAAATGTATCTCCACCTGGATGATAAAATGATAAACCAAATGAAATGACAGCACATATAATAAGTATAACTAGTGTAACATCTTGAAGAGCTTCAAACATAAGACGAAAAAATGTTTTTGGTGGTTTTGGTGGAATTTCATTACGACCAAATGCAGCTGTACGTACTGAGAAATCACCTTCATCATTATTTAAACCTTAAATAACACGAGAAAATAAAAATAAATAATAATAGTATAAAACTTTTACCAGTTATTAAATTTGTTTTAAGTTTTTGCCCGAGACCACTAAGACCACCATAGGTATCATTTATCTCTTTAACACCTTCATGGCCACGTGTTTGCATTAATACTTCTAATTCTTTATATGTAATACCAAATTCTCGAGCAGCTGCAGCAGCTGATTGATCATCATGACCATCAGTAGCTTTCTTCTTTTTTGCCATTTTGTTTTGGAATATAGAATGATATGTATTGGGATAAATAGGATGTCGTTTGATGGAATTTAATTGACTAATTCACTTTTAGTAATAATATTTGTAAGAAGTTAGTCCGTCGTTGAAAAGACGATAAATATAAGCTCATGATTCATTCATTTATTTAACATATAACGACAAATAGACCTTGAAACAAAAGACAAAAAAAATAGAGAAGAAACTAACTGATAACGAGTGTCTCGTGAGGATATAAGAGAACAGAGTTCTATTTTCTGTTGTATCTCTTTCTGTCGCTTCTTTTTGGCTACAAACGACAACACAAACATTTTCTATCTAGTGGTTCTTGTTTATTAGAATATTACTATCGTTCTTTCTGTCTCTCTCTCTCTTTTTTTTCCTTCTTTTCTTATTTTGTTTGCTCGAATAATACTATTAGTATCGAGAGTGGGACGAAGAAAAGGTAGTATTCTAAAGAATTGATAATTCCCACGTGGAATGATGCAAGCAAACAAATCTAACAAATGTAATGAAATATTCTGACCTTTACATATTAGATTTTTGTCTCTGTTGGTCTTCAATTTTGACAGTAAATAATATTGTCATTACATAGATATGTGATTTGTCACATAAGTTAACATATACAATTACTCAAAAAACAAAACAAAAACGAAATTAAAAAGAAATATTTATCTTCTCATTATTTTATCGTGAAATTTGACTTATAATAAATAGTATATTGATCAAACTCTTTCTTATCTTCTATTTCATATTATTATTATTATT